CAAACTCTGATTGATTCATGAATGAAGTAAATGGCTCTCTTTATGAATGAGCCACTGAATCATTGGTTCACCCGATTCGTTCAAAACACAGATTCATTAAGAAATTGTGTGTTGCTCGGAGATGCACAACAGTTCTGCTATAGATTTAACTGGTAATATTTGCGTTGGCAAAACTGAAAAATTTTGTGTCTAAAATATAACACAATATTAAGTTCTTATTTATTGAACTGTTGTATAAAATCAGTATCACATTTGCACTTGTGCTATTTGGCACTCGTGATACTGCACTCATTGCTCGTGTGATGTTGCTTAACTGTATCATATGATATAAATATGAGACAAAAACTCATACAGGGGCGTTTTTCCCCAATATTCTGAATTTTAGGGGTATATAACTGCTTTCTATAGGCTACATCACACAGTGAGTTGTTGCCCTGCATGTTCATGTTAATTTTGTTGATCCTCATTTCATTTCAGTGGTAAGAGCCCTTTAGTGTCTTATTATTCTAAATGAATTTCTTAGTAAAATTAAAGAATGAATGATGACATACATTTAATAAGGTTAGGAAAAAAATTGACATTTATAAAGGAAAAAAATGCCCTGGAAATCAATTTAAGGGGGCAAATAAAGTAAGAGCTGACAGAACATTGATGAGAATATTGCTTCAGAAAAAAAGTACATTTACATTCCAAGAAAAAAAAACTATAAAATAAACAATACAATAAAATAAAATCCTTTTTTTTTTCCAGACAAGTAACTTTTTTACTTGGACAAGTGAATGGCCAAAGGACAAGCACATGTCAAGGCTTAATGTCGATCCCTGATAATGCTGACTTGTTTCCACACGTTGAAAGAATAAACAATGGGTCGGAGAAGCAGATCAAGGTCTAGGCTAGAAGTTTCGTCAATGGAAAGCAACGGACCGTGACACTGAACTACCTCTTGTAGCCTGGCCAAAGAAGCACCGCACCCTTAACATTCAGGTTTACACAGCGGCTCCTCAACAGGTGACAGGGACTGTAAAGAAAAGAACGTCCCCCACAATGCTTAAAAAAACACATCAAACCCCCCTTAGTGGTGGTGAGAAAAATCTGGCAGGCTGTTTACCAACCCTAAAGAGTGGCCAAACTACAATCACACATGTGGCAACCCAGGTTGCACATACAAACCAACCACCACCACCTCTGCTTTCAAAACGATCAGGATAGCCACCAAAGGGTCGTTGTAGTTTACTTTTGGCGCTTTTCCACTGCGTGGTACAACTCGGCTCGATACGGCTCAGTACGGCATGGCATGGTTCGGCTCGGCACGGTTTGGCTCGGCATGGTTTGCGTTTCCACTGCGGTTCAGTACCGCTTTACAGTGGGCGGGATTATTCACATGTCGTTATAGTTGCGCCGCCTCTACTACCACGACTCCTAAAAAAAACAATCCTTTTTCATTCCGCGTCGCCCCATCAAGCTCTCGCTGGATCCGCTCCTCTGCTATCAACGAGAGGAACGTCTGTACCCAGTGGAAAACCCCCCAAAAGTGAACCGTACTGAGCCGTACTGAGCCGTACCGTGCCGTACCATGCAGTGGAAAAGCACCATTTGAGAAGTAAGACTCATACAGCTCGTTATATCAAGCCAAACTGTTTCCATCACCTTGGTCTTCACAGCACACTGAATACACAAACAAAATCAAACAGCTATTTAATCAAAAACGGATCTAATTTATTCTGAATTTTTAAGGGTCAGTCCTGATGAATGTAAGATGCCAAAGACAGGCATAAATTTCCATAATCAAAACCAAAATTGCTTTTTTTTGCCATTTCTTTACTTCAGATGGATCAGATGCAAGAAACCATTTTAAAAGAAAATAATTTAATTCACAAGGAATTCAGACAACTTTTTCAAATTTGAGGATGAAGAGTTTGGAGGACTGTGTCATGCAACGGTGAAGCCAATAAGATTACTCATAACATTCATCAGTTAATTCGACCATCTCCTCCGCACTCAGGTTAAAGGGACAGTTCACCCAAAAATGAAAATTGACATCATTTATTCAACCTCATATATTTCCAAAACTGTATGACTTACTTTCTTCTGTGGAACATAAAATAAGATATTTTGAGAAATGTCTCAAGTATCCATACATAAGTCAATGGTCACCAAAACTCTTTGGTTACCAACATTCTTCAAAATATATTCTTGTGTTCCGCAAAAGAAAGAACAACAGGTTTGAAATGGTCAGTAAATGATGACAGAATTTTCATTTTTGAGTGAACTATTTAACCCTCAACCATGAATAACTCCATCAGTCTTTATCTTAATGGAGTCCTAAAACCCTTATCTCAAAGTTAACTTAAATCCACAAAGGGCCATGTGTGAGTTGGCGATGCCGACACCTCAGTGCTTCCTACTCACCATCAAGGTCTCTGCGAGCCATGGGGGAACCATTAAATGAAAGAAAGAAAAAATAGCCAGTATGGAGAAACTATTTGGACAACTGGAAGGTATTAAGGCTTGATTTTATACTCAGGCCATGTCCACAGGGTTTTTTCCAACCAAAGCTTTTTCTACTCTTGATTGATATATTGCAGACGGACAACCCAAAAAATATCTCTTGCCTATAACTTTAAAATCCAGCTTCTGTTGGATCTGTCAACATGAAAGCAGCCAATAAAGAGACATTAAGATGCTGGAACGTGCCTTTCAGTTCATGGAAATGCTAAAATGCAGTTTTGACGCTCCTTGGGCGAGTTTGTGCCGCGTGGTTACGCAAGCAACAGGTTTGGATGTCACAAGCACAAGCATCTTAACTGCTTTTGAATTGCCACAGAGGCGTACAAAAGCGCTGAACATGAATAGTGACATGTGAATAGAGATAGTTGTAGGGATTAATGAGAATAAATAATCAGCATTTATGACAGACTACAGTTGCCTTAAGGTTTTGAGAGACAAAGAGCCACTGGTTAACAACAACACAAGCCAGTTGGTTTGGGTTACTGCTGTTGTTGTCAGTGAGGTTTGAATATTAAAAGCGGCCACGCTTTATATAAGGAAAGTCAAGAGGAAATTTATATCACCTGTTGGGCAGTTGAGGCCTACCAATAAAAGCGCTGTTGTTCTGTCAAAGCTATTTAACCTCTTCTAATACTAGTTTGAAACAACACTTTAAATGGTTTAATATACTAATTCAACAGTGTAATATGGAATAAATCAATTATTTATTGATACTTTGTGCTTAATCTGTGACCGGTAGCTGAAGCAACAATAAAGTCAACATGAAATAGAATTTGTCCCAGTTTACTTTCTTAATATACTTTCCTGGTCTTATTGTTAAAAATTTATTCTAGCTTTCCATTTTCGCTGATGTCAACAAGCCCTCTTATTTAAACCTCTTCTCTCCAACCACCTGTCATATAGAGACCACTTTTCACCATCCAATCCAATAACGATAAATCAAGTCCAAGCTCCCAGATTTATCCTGTTTTGCTCTGAAATACGTCACATTAGCTTCCCACCAAAATCACTATATGCATTTAAATGGTATATCCAAGGGCCACAGACTAAAGCACTCAGGCAGACCAGGTCAGATTACTCAGCAGTAGGTTAGACAGTCCTTGAGGCAGAACATCAACAGAGCTACCTGGCCAAGCATTCCCATCTAAAGCCTGATATCATGTGTAATGAATGTTTCGCCATCCTATCAGACAAAGAATGATTATGTCAACCACCCTCGGTTACAGCTAATAAGCTTCTTGTCTTCAAAAAGTGTTTCTGTCTTCATATATTTCAAACAAAGCCAAACGACGAATGTAACACACTAGGTCTGACTAAAATTTTGACAAATCGGATCATACAAAATGCAAAACAGATAGTTTATGACTTCAATTGATGTTTCCGTGTTGAAACTTGTGTGCGATAACCATCTTTTAAACCTGACAAGAAGAGTAAAAGAGCTGCCTTTCTGAAATCGACAGACAAAACAGGTATCTTTGCAGTGATGAAACATGCAGTAAAGGTGTTAAAGATAATACTGGGCAGTAAAATTGTTCCCTTTGAAAATGATATGATTGTTATCTTGAACACACAGGCAGATAACACTTTAGAAACTTTGTCTAGGCCACAGAGATACATCACATCAAAACCTATCGCCCAAAAAGACATCTTTAAAAGTGATGCCATGTTTGAGGAAAAAAAGTTAAGGAAATAAGATTATTAAAATGGCTGTGTGATGTTTTCAAAAAACAATCTTAAAAATATATCTGGGAGTTCATACAATGTCAGATAACCATAAAAAACAGCAACTGCCACTGTTCTCAGTCTTTATTACAAGACTAACTATATCTACCATCTTAGTATAGTGCTCTTATGAAGAAAATAACACATTTGAAGTCATAATCTATAAACCAGACCAAATATAATGTCAAAAACACATTAAACTGCATTATTATTGCAACAGTACTAAATGGCAGAGTTTATGAAAAGTTCCTGTGGAACAGTATAACTGAAGGTGACGCCTGTCTGAGCTGTAGAATACTTAATAAAATACGTTTCAACATAAAATAAACACTGAACACAACAATGAAGAGATTTTGGAATTACTATAAGCTTTATACCTTGTTTTTTTAGCACTCTAGTCTAAAAATATTCATAAAAACAGGATTTTAAGGACCAAAATTACCTTCCAGCATATGACTTTGACTCATATCAGCAGGCCTCAAAAACTTAGTAAGTTTCCAAACTTATTATAGTAACTAGCATGTCATAACCTGGTAGGTCACAAAGAGACCCGAGACTACTTATAACCAATCTCATTTTATGATTTTAATGGACATAGAAAATTTTGTCAGTACTTATAAGTAATATTAAATAAGTGTAGGGCACTATATAGGCCGTGACACTTGTCGTTTGTTATTCTGTGACTTTTGAGTCATTTTCTTCCCTGGACAACGTCAGTTAAGAGTGTTAAAGAACCTAAAGCGTGTTGTTTTGAAGTTTTGTGTACTTACAGATGGCCAGTGCTCTTAGGCAAGTCTTGAGGGACATCAGTAATGTCTAAATGACGGCAGTCGGACGCATCAAGCGTACACGTACAGTTTTGAGGACACGGTGCGCCGTAATTGATGATCAGTTCCAGCGTCAAAAACCAATAAAACACACGATATGAAAGTGATCCCATCTGTCCCAGCCACGCCGCCATTTTGTATCCAGTTGTCTCAGCGCTTAACGACTGGTCTGTCTCTCATCCACAAACGGACAGCTCGAGCTTATTGAGTTTCCCAGAGCCCGAGTAATTCGCCTTCATTAAGTTGTTTGTTTACCCAGCGGTAATGTGAAATTACACCGGGTTGTTCTGGGACAATACATCAGTCCTGGACTTGAAAACGGTCCACAGTAAAATTGTATCTCCCCCGCTGCACCACGCAAGTAAATCAAAGGTGAATCACGACGAGGCAATACAAGAAACTTGTCCAGAAGCCAAAACTAAATGCAGTTGTCCTTAAAAGGTTGAAAAGCGAGTCTGGATGAGAGATAGACAGGCGCTTTGTTTTGGCAAGAGAGATCGACTGGATCAAATGTAGTTTGAGGACTTTAAATCGTCGATGTTTCTGAAGTTCTTATAATGTTTTGATCCCAAGTGATTCGTTATTCTGAAAAGTAAAACCATAGTAGATCATGTCCATTAACTCCATACGAGTGTGTTGAAAGAAAATCTGCGATCGTCGGCGCTTTGAAGAAACTTTTCCTCAGGAAAAACCGCACTCTTTAAAAAAAGTTTGAGGCTCTCGCTTCTTCGCGGACTTGATATAAAGTTTTCCAACTGCGAATGCAGGAGTTTGGATCACTCGAGTGGATTGCGATAAAGCACTTTTGAAGCGAAAGGTTCCAGTAAATACGTCCGACTGTTGTGAACTTTGCGGCTCGCGTTCGTTTACTCTCTCTCTCTCTCTCTCTCTCTCTCGCGCGCGTTCGTTCGTTCGTTTACTCTCTCTCTCTCTCTCTCTTTACTGACCCTGCGCGCGGTTAAAGGAACTGGGAAGCTAATTCACCTCGCACTTCTGACCGTTTCCACCGCTTGTTTTTCACCCTCCCGGACTTTGCTTTCTTTTTAAACATACGTTCTTTCGTCCCACGTTGGATACACCAGGAGTGATAAAGATTCTCTCATTTTGCTTTCCGATTGGTGCTTGGAGAATGTTTGACGGCCAAACTCTGGATCTCATTGGCTGATTTGGAGCGCTCAGGCGCCACGATTTTGGAAGTGCCGGGGCCCAGCTGTCAGTCACCTCGCGTTAGCCCCGCCCATATTTCCCACCCAGAGTGCGAAACGGCGACGCCTCCTTTCACTCTCATCGCGTCTTAAAGGGACAATGTTTATGTCTGTTTTATAATACAATACAATATAATATTATATTATTCTATAATATATAATATAATATATACACTTAGATTGTAAAGCAGGAAAATGAAATAAACAATCGACTTTCTGCTTTTATTTATTTATTTATTACAGTCCACATACTGTTTTTGACACAGAAAAGCTAAAATATATCATTTGCAAAATACTGTCTCTTTGTAACATAAAGCTTTTTATTTCATGCCTTGCCAAATTCCTTGACAAATAGGCATCGATTAAAAAGTAACCTTATAGTGGTTACTACAAAATGTGGGATCACTTATTTGAATTATGTTTATCAGCATTGTGGCTTCAAGTTTGGCTTTCATGTCAATATTACATGAAATAAAGCCCTATTAATGTTGTCACTATAAGGTAGGGTGACCATACGTGCCATTTTCCCAGGACGCGTCCTGGCCAGGATTTCTATATTGCCTAAAATATCTAGGTTTTGGCTTTGTTTGCGTGTGCAGACCGATCGGTGTACGACATGCGCTTCGAAGGGTAGCTGTAGTGTTAGTGAACTTGAAAAGCAATACAATAACAAAGTTATATTTCAAATCCATAACGGGAAAAGACAACTCTAATTTACAAATAGTAAATGCACTGAATCTGCATTAACACATGTGACGAATCTGACACAATCTGTAATCTAAAGTGCAACATTAGAGTGAGTAGAGCTATTAATGTTTGTTTTTATGGGACATAGCTATGAATTCTCACTGATAATTTGATTAAAATTACCAATCTAACTACTGGACCCTTTTGTACATAAAGTTTCATTCAGCATACACCTGAGAATTTCAGCAAACGCTGTCTCTGGATGTTTTTGGATCAGTTATAGTGGTGAGAAAGTTTGCCAGTAAACTAATGTGCGTATCAGATGGGAGATCCAGTGCACATTCACAGCTGGAAAAAGATGAAAGGCCCTGGTGCGAGGGTTTGGACAGATGGTGCAAAGCATAAAGACATTGGATTTGGTGCTTCTCTGAAAGACAGAGAGAAGTGAAGTGGGCCTGAACCAGAGTTTTTAAACGGTAGATAATTCAAGGTTAGAAGAGATGCTGTTCCATCTGTGTGAGTTGCGTTTTGTGTGTTTTTGTCAGTGTGTCTATGTGTGTGTTGCAGTCCTGTGCCAATTTATCACGCTGGCCGTGCAGGAATCTTCAAAGATAACGAGCCCATCTGCTCAAGCTATTCGTCAACAATAAAATGGAGAGGCGTGAAACGAAGCCAGCACGTTGTACTATCTCTGGATGTTTAACGGCTGTGCACTATAGCGAGGAAATGCCCGGGTTAATAGGAAGCAGAGACACTTGCACGTCTCATCATATCTCTGAGTCCTGGCTAAAAAGCGAGAATCCCTAAACCCGAAGGAGAAAACGCAGTTAGGGTTTCAGATGAGGCAATTCAATGAGTCTATACTGAGCAGTACATTTTTAGACAATTATAGTTGCATAACACCTGCACACTGGCTGGTATTTTCCAACAGTGAAGGCGCATTCACACTGACAGCGTGATCGTAAGTCATTCATTTATAAAGACACTTTGATTTTGACAACAAAGCCCAACTTTATTAAAATGATGAGCAATGTGATGCAGCAGCTGGGTCAATGGTGTATAAGCACGTCCATGAGTGTCTGAAGGAAAGAAAAAATCTAGTTTACATTCTTAGATTATGTATTTATGTTGGTTTCATATGGTTTTAAAAAAATGTTTATACCATTTTTAAGGAAAGGTACAATGATGTGACCATAAAAAAATAAATAACATATTTTCATTACACTTTGAATATATAAGTGCATCTCTAATTAACACACAATAATTAACATAACACAATTTATATAATACAAATTAATTCATAAATATCATTAAGAATTTCTGTGTTTCAATTTTTTGCATGTTATCCTTTGTGTGTGTGTGTGTGTGTGTGTGTGTGTGTGTGTTAATTTTCTTCATTAACACAACTTATCACTTCACAAGATGTTAAGTGATGGACTGGTTTTGTGTGGTTACTCGTGGATTATTGTGATGTTTTTATAAGTTATTTGGACTCTCATTCTGACGGCACCCATTCACTGCAGAGGATCCATTGGTGAGCAAGTGATGCAATACATTTCTCCAAATCTGTTCTTATGAAGAAACAAACTCATCTACATCTTAGATGGCCTGAGGGTGAATAAACTTTCATGTTTGGTGAACTATACCTTTAAGAAACACTCTCTTAGCTGTGTCTTTATCTCAGGCCCAGTGGCATGAGTCAAGCGGAACTTTGCACAGCCCATGTGCAGGTGTCCGAACAAGATTTTTTTTTATTGTGTATGTGTACTAACATTTACATTTCTCACTGTTGTTTGTTTAATAAAGTGAGTGGATGTCGCCCACTTCTGCCAAGTTCCTTTAATTTCCCAGAGCTCGATGCCTATAGGCCAAAACCGTATGTGTTGAAAGATGTCTCCTCCTTGACCTGTTCTTGAGTGTCGCACAGGTTGCCCATCACTTGATGTCATCCCTGGAGAAGGTATGCCTTGTTGCAACAGCCTTGTGTTAACATCTTGCTTCTATTAAGTGTTTACCTGGGCAATGTCTCCTTGGTGTCCTCAATCAGCACACAAATTCAGTTGTGATGTATAGACACTGCCTCCCATATGCTGGCAGGGTGGAGAACACAAACACCGTGAAGCTCTTGTGTTTTTGAGCAGGAGTGTTTTAATAGGGCCAAGTGCAAAATACGTGATAAAAGAAGCAATGATCTGGAATGGGTTTTTGTGTATGTGTGTGTGTGTGTGCGTGCCGCAGGGCAGGAATGCAGTGTGTGAAAGGTGACTTCTGTATGGCCTAGTTTAAGAAGTGATGCATCTTTAGTTTAGCAGCAATCTTTTGTTAAGATTTTTTATTTTAGGTTCACTTAACAAGTGCTGGTTTTCTCTCTGAAACCAGGCAGGATGTTATTTTTAGTATTGTAAAACGTCTCAGGTTACTTATGTAACCATGGTTCCCTGAGTAGGGAACGAGACACTGCGTCCTCTAGGGGTTGCTATGGGGAACGCCTCGTCGTGACCCGTGTCTGACCTCGAAAAGAGAGACAAACGAGAGCGGAGCTTTTTTCCTTGGAAGGCATCGCGGAGCTTTTTTCCTCAGAGGCATCGCGTGCGTGCTCTTTGCCCAAACAAAACAACGCATAGATCGTGTGTGTCATCAGATGTTAAACAACGTCAACACGGATGCACACATCCTTAAATGCTTTGCTAGTGCTCGCCATAATGAGATAAATAGAGATCGCTCTTACCACAGAAATGCACGCTTCAAACAAAACAGTCAATGAAGACGAAGAAGAGAATGATGTGTGCTCCCGGCGCCTATTTATACTATAGTCGCACCGGTAGTGACGTCATGGCTGTCGCCGGCCAACGAGTTGGTGTTTTTTCAATGTATGCTTCAGACACGGGTCACGATGAGGCGTTCCCCATAGCGACCCCTAGAGGACGCAGTTCGAAGTTCCCATGAAAGGGAACTATGATCTCAGACCAAAGGTGTAATCTGTGCAGATAATCTAATAAAATAATGTTGTGATTTAATTTAATTTAAATACTATGTAAATATTTTACATGATCTTTTAATTTCATTTATATTAGTTGCAAAAATATTTTAAATATACTATTTTAACATTCTAAAAAATAAATGAATTAACTGAAAAATATATACAGTATATACCAAGGTGAGCTACATTTTCCACCACATTAATACAGTCAGTGAAATAGGGATGAAATGTAATTCATGCAGTTTTTGGGAAGAAAAATTGAGATAATTTGAATCTAACATATGACTCTTCTGTGTCAATGACAAACGTTTTACAAAACTTTTTACTGAAGCTTCAAAACCTTATATGGTGTGTGCATAATATTATCAAGCTGGTAAATCTACAGAAACTCCAGTAAGTATATTAAATGATGTCTTCAGTGGGGTCCAATGAACATGGAAGCCTGGCTGGGGAAATTCAATTTATTTAAAGTTACATGATCCTCATTCTCATCCATCACAAATGAGCGCATGGCACAGTGCTTGGGGCACAGATTTATGGGTGATTTATCAACGTCATTAACTATCTTAAGTGGCTGATGAGCTGGGGAAGTGGTCATTATGTCTTTGCAGGTGGGGTTACGGTGAACAGGGTCACACTGATTTACTTAGACTAAGAGAGTCTCTCCAGAGATAAAACTGATAAAGTGGCCCGCTGGGGATTGAAATGTAGACAAATTCAGACCTGACTTAATCACTTGTTTAGCTTCTCTCACAATCTGTGACTCACAGACAACTGTCCAATATTTCTAAAAAATGATTCATGGACGACGCATTCTTTTAAGTTGAATCTTTTCAATTAATCACTTAATTTGGTTTACTAAGACTTTCTGGATGATCATTTACAAATCAGAATGATTTGGTTCTCGAGTTCAACTCTGAACTTTGGAGCAGTTAAAGGAACAGTTCACCCAAAAATGAAAATTTGCAGAAAATGTACTCACCCACAGGCCATCTGAGATGTAAATGAGTTTGTTTCTTTCATCAGAACAGATTTGGATAAATGTAGCATTACATCAGGAGAGAAATATGTACCGATCAAGCACAGTTTACAAGCAAAACAGTCCAAAAGAGTTTTAAACAAATATGTGGGTGGATTTTGGATTTTGATATGAGAGGACAACAAGGGATTTTTCATGGGAGGAAGTGTTATCATGGATTATGGACACATATTTTGTCCAGAAGTGACAGTTTAAAGT